AAAAGCAGCTGCAAAATACCTAGCATGTATTTTCTGATACATACAAAAACATTGTTTTTGCAAAATGAAACGATTCCTTAATTTATACATTGCCATTGTCCACATATCTTATGGAGCCAAAAGAAACAACTACACCTTCTGAAATACACTGCACTGCAAGACTCTCCCAGCTTAAATTCTCAGCTTGAAGCAAAGGTTTTGATTGTGATATCAAAGCAATCAACTTTATGAAAACATACATCCTGTTAAGGTATCTTTGAAGACCTCTGTTGTTCTATGATAAAATATGCAAACAATAAAGAGATTATTCAGTGGATGCATAGAATGACAGGTAGTTGCCAGAGGGCTCGTTATGAAAAATGTATTGTTGAACAAAGGGCTAAGCATATTTCAAAAGTCATTAAAAACACAAATCTCATGTGATTTGTAAAGTATGAGCTTTAAACCGATACAGGAACCAAGGTAAGAAAGTAATAAATGTACTACATACCTTGTGTTTTAACTTACTCTTCACTTCTTTTATTCCTTGCCTTGCCTGATTTTTTGCCTAGAAAAATAAAAGGAGTTTAGATCTGCAAAACACTGGCTGTAGTCATGGAACATGCTTTATGCTGACATGATTATATTATTTTTTTAACCAGTGAGTAATACAAAGGACAATAACCTTTATCACAAATTTCATACATGCATTGTCATTGTGTTTTATATATTTATTCTTTGTCTCTATATTTCAGGATTTGATTCAGTATATGCATGCCAATGCTCATGAAAACACACATACTCAAGAATTCTCCAATCTTACTTAAGTACAGGCTAAAAATGGGCATATACATCACTCCTTTATTTGAAATGGTCCTTTAAATGTGAAGGTTATTTTAGCAGTAAGGCACGTTGGAAAAATGTTAAGATTTTCAAGATGACTGCTGCAGTGTTCCAGTCTGGCAACTTGCAGGGCAACATCAATCTTAAGAGGAATGAAGTGATTTCATATGCAGATGGAGTTTTTGCCCAGTGTTGCTTAACAACATTGTGCTACTATTTAGGGGAGAATTCTGTATGTTATAAAAGAGACAGCCAAGGATCACTGTTGCATAGAAAACAGAGCCAAGAATGTTCTTCAATAGAGATATGAATTATCAATACAGACTACCATGTACTTCTATTTAAAAATAATAATAAAATGAAGAGAAAGAGAGAAGGAGGGAGAGTAGAAAAACAAGAAAAGATGGTGGGGGAAGGTGTGGGGACCACCCTATTAGAAGAAAGGGTATTTTTCCTATAAAAATCTAGGAAAAAAATGTAAGTTTTCAATATTATCTTGAATATAGGAGTTTTAAAAATATATTTAAGGGCATAATTATGTGGAAATCACCATTTTTTCCATGGCTTTCTACAGAACAAAATTAAGAATTTATTTTTTTTTAATCAAGAGGTAAGAGAATCTTTTTGATCCTTAAATCATACTTTTATGAGATCAATAGCAGCACAATGGGGTGCCATGTAGCAGATGCTAACCTGAGAGCCACTTTAAACTTTCCAGATCGTGCTCACAGCATTTGGATGAATTTTGGAGTGCTTTGTTCTAATTCTGAGGGATGGTACCAAGTATATTTAAGGCTACCAATCAATTATCAAGCAATTAAGAAATGCACGTTTCATTTGTCAAGTAACAAGCTCCATAAAGGGCAATAGCATAAAAAAATTAATGGGGTATAAATATGAATACCTTATACACAGAGTTCCTGACAAAATTTACTTCCTAAACAGAAGTTCACTTCGAAGAACCTTCATTATCGAGGACACCATTATAAAAACTGAAGGCTAGGCAAAGATCACGTAAGCACAGTTTAAGCTAGTGTAAATTGAAGAAGAATAATTTGTAGATAACCTAATAATGAACAATTTAAAAAAATTATAGATGAGTTCATGAATATTAATGATATTTAATTTCTTTACCTGTTTCCCTCCATGACTGCAGTGTTTTTCAACTGATGTAAAATTAAAAATTTTGTTTGAAAACTTTACTTAAAATACACTAGCTTAGACTGATGTACTGATTTACTCAGAATACTTTTTATGCATCCAACTGGGAAAACATCGGGAAAAGCAAAAAGGAAGCCAAAAGTTTTTTTCCCATATATTAAGAATACAACCTTAAGATACTTCCCCTTTCATTTTACACTGTTTTTTTTAATACTGCATGATACTGTATAATTTCACATGTTTTATTAGTTAGGCAGTCTTTTAAAACAAGACTGTTGAGATTCAACTTTTAATCTCAAGAGTATAATCATTAAATCCAGTTAAACTTGAGTATTCTAGTACCATCTTTAAAAGAGCAGATGACAGAAAAGACTTGCTGCACACATTACTGATGCTTTATCACATCTTCTCCATAATGTAGCACTTAGTGCCAAAGTGAAATTGTAACTGTATAAACCAGGACTCCATTTGCTAGCACAATCTGTATCTGTTCTGAGTAGAGAAGGTCTCCACACCATGTTAACACCACTTATATTACATATAAATGTAACATTTACAAAATGTTACACTCACGTTTATTTTGCAATGCCTATGTTGTGTCATGGGGCCTTAGTGTAAATGACAATTTCTATTTTTGTAGTCCATGTTTTAATCATGTTGCCACCAGGTCAGGAAGAGCTGTGTATCAAATACACAGCTGTGCATCAAGTATCTAAATTATATTCAAATAAGCTTGTAGTATGTATTATGATTGAAACAAAAACAGCACAGTGATGCTTTGAAAGTGTCAGTTCTAACGTACAAGCTACCTGGAGAACTCTGAATCAACTCTAAATCCTAGTGCTATCTGAGAAAAAAAATGAAGCTAAAAACGTTCTGCAGGGGAAGGTTTTTCTGCAATACAATTACAAAATGCTTAGGTTTTTAAGTGTTCAGGAAGAATGAGAGGTTGTAGGAAGTTGAAGTATTTTTATGTATTATTCATTTGAAAGAGATTATCTTACGAATTTATATGCTGTCTTCACAGCCGGGGTGGCTTTGGTCATTGCTGTGTTGATCAATGCACCACCTTTCTGAAATACACAAAAAAAGGTATTTTAGTAAGATTTTAACACAAAGCAAACTTTAAGACAACAGCAAGGAAAAATACATGGTGTGCTGTAAAAAAATAACAATCTTGCTTTTGAATTTGCAAGAATAACCACAGCTGTGTTTCCTCCCCAACTTGCTGTCTGCAGCTACACAAGGGTTACAGTATGTCATTATCATAGCTGACACATTTATCAATGCATTCTAACACAATGATGTATTTTCTTTCTTCCTTCATTGTTACCATTTCAAAATCAATTCAGAAGTTATGGCTATTTCTCATGTGCTCCCATCATATTTATTACACAACTTAAAAATACTTTGACCTGACAGAAAGAACTAACTCATTTAATCATGCAATATTTCTCTTAATCTAAAATAATATATTTTACTAATCCTGCAGAATAACAAGGTTATACCAAGGGTCTTCTCCTAGCCAAACTGCACAAATCCATATTAACAAAACTGTTATCTACTACAACTGATAAACTTCGTATCAAATTGCACTGTCACACCTAATTCACAGTTATGGAATGTAACACGATACAGTAAGTGAAATCCCTGACTATACAGACAGAAAAGTCTTGTGCGTTTTGCCATTTGTGTATGGGACAAAAAGAAAAAAATGCACAAAATTACTGCATATACCGTAGATACACTATTTATTATAGAATATAAGCAAGTTTATACCTTCACTGTATGCATCCACTGCTGATAAGATCTTGAATTTCCTGAAATAGAAATATAAATTTAACACAATCAAACATACATTCAACACTTTAAATGTTTCAACCCTCCTCGCAATATGCATTAAAATTCCCTCAGAGGAGTATTCATTAATTTCATTTTTCCCAGACAGACAAGGAATGCAAAGATAAGAATACATGTACACTAAGAAAAAAAAAAAAAAAAAGGTATCTCTTATTTAATGTTTGCTACTTTCTTTGTAAAAGAAAATATTTTCACTACTGAGAGTTTTTAATTCCAGTTGAGGTAGAAAGAGAAATTAAAGCTATGATAAGGTGTCATACTGTTAAAAAGTCTAAAAGGAAAAACACCAACTCAAAGGAAAGAACAACATATAATGAACTGCATTCAAACATAATGATCCCACTGGGCAAACTTTCAAGTACAAAAATTACATGGATTGCAGATGGTACCATCCTAAGGAAAAAGAATGAGAGAAAAGCCTAAGGATTGTGGCACAACTATATACTCGTGCAGAAAAATGATTTTAAATTATTAACTGTATCTACTTTCTTTGACAAAGGAAAACCACTAAAAGGCAAGTGAGAGCTACTGGCTTCTGTAGGACTACCAAAAACAACTGCTCCACTAAGCTGGACATGAAGGATAGGGTTAAATTCTACCAAGCACTTGAAAAGGAAATGAATACTATTTCCCAAAGCTTCTTCTGTTGAATGCCAAATATCGGGTCCCTCATCCCTGAGAAAGGTTTAGAGTACATCAGTCACTTGAATACTATGGTCCTGGGAGCTGTTACTAACCCCAGACAAGACATATTGACAAGAATGCTGAAGTTTCAAACAGAGTTTACCCATTCTGAAAGGACCATACTTCCTTGACTTTAACAGGAGTCCTCAAAACTTCTTAAGCTTTGCAATGATCAGTTAACTAAGGCCTGGATGGAACTACTGCATTGTCTAGTAGAAAGCCAAAACATATCCGAGGCTCAATCTCCTAGAACACAGTTGAGAACTAACTGCATCACTGTAAAAGTTATTCCCAAGAGTCTCATTGAGGTGAAAAAACTGAGCTGTTGATATTAATCTTGGGCACTTCCATCCATTTCAGCAATGCCTGCTTAGAAAGGATCATTATAATCCTATCTCCAGTAAAAACATCAAAGAGCAATCTAAAGAAAAAATTATCATTTTTTACTTCTTCAAGTTGGCTTCCTGGAACTACCAGAGAAGGTAGCGTGCAAATATCACTTGATAAGGTGAAATTTAATCACTGCTAGTGTGTCTTAATGAAATTAATTCAATAAACTGTAAGTATGTTCTCTTACATGACATTTCCCAACTTCCAACTCCTATCAATATATTCATACAGCATCCGGCTTGAAATATTCTTAACAATCCCTCTTTCCACATCTCAGACAGCCTGTGACTTCAGCAATTACTATAGCTAGTAAACAACATCAAAGAAAATCACCATAAAGTTTAACTGTTTTCTAATTGGGTAGAGAAACGTCAGGGAATGCAATAAAGAAAAGAAATAAACATTCATCTACAGAGAAGACCATTATAACACTGCATGCCCTCAGCTAGTATTGAACCTACCGGAGCTCTATGAAGAAAACGTTGACTCCTTAAAATGAATTATTAAGATAGTTTCAAAGGTTTTAATTTTGGGGTTTTTTTTTTGTATTAGAACCACCACATTAGACCAACCAAAAAACCCCAAAAAATCTTCTGTAATAAAATTCATGTTGTTATATATTACTTAAATCAATGTATTCTACAAGAAATCTAAGTGCTAGGCCAATCAATCATCACAATATTCTTGTGTTGAAAGCTACATAAAAATCTAGAGAACTAGTACTTTTCCAGAATAATACACATAACAGAAAATAAAAACTCATGAAAAAATTAAGTATAAGACACAAATGGTAATGGAATACCTGACACATTTCACACACCAGCCACAAGGAAATAAATTTGACAACTTTACTTTTAACAAAAATTATTTGTAAAAAATTGTGAAATCTAGGGTTTAGTTTCCAATTCCCAGTTTTACTTCCTATACTGGTTTAGTTATGCTCACATATATGGGAAAATGCAAATTTAAAGAGCTTAATTAAAGAAACACTTTCCATTTGATTCTTTTATTTTACAATCATACTTTCTATAGCTGAGAGTATTTTCACCTGTCCTTTAAGCAGCCTGTAGCGCACACTAATTTTCTGTGACTTTTCTGAAGGCTAGGTTTTACCTGTGGTTTTTTTTCGAAAACCTTAAGCTTCATGATAAAGTTGATGGGAGTTAACTCTGCAAAGAGATCATGGTTCTACCCCATTAGCGTCACAAAATGTCACCTTCAATTGCACACATATTGTTAGCCCTGCACTTCATAACAATAATGAGACAGCAGTTATGTAAATACTGAATATGTGCCCTAAGCAATTTGTCCACAAACTGGCAATATAGAGCTTGTCTGACTTAAAAAGTAAGCACAAGGTGCAATCTAAGTGAGAGCGGCTAGCGAAGCAAGCACTCCTTCCTGGGCAGAGCCAGGTGAGACGTGGTTCACAGGCTGCCAGTGTGCAGCCAAGAAACAAGCTTTATCTGACTTACACTGCAACTTTATTGCAGCCTCCTGACCCCCCAGCTGCAGCCAGCCAACACACTCTGTATAGACAACCACCTGTCTGAATAATGGATGCTCAATGCCCAAGATCTGTTTACAGAGCAGCATAAGTTACTCTAAAAAGACAGAAAAGAAGTAAATTCCTGTATAACTAACCACACTTTAATCAAGAAAAGAAAATTTACATGCTAGATCATAGTACAAGACACAGAGGGCAGGAGAAGGCAGTGGAAATCTTGAACAAAAGGATTTATATACTCTTGAGCATAAAAGAGGTATTTTACAGAAGACAAAGATGTCTCTGCACCACTCGATAATTCCTCCGTGGCTGCCAAATCCTTTCCTCTTTAAATATGCCCATTTAAGGGTCATCTGGCAAAGGAAGACTATGTAGAAAAAGTTCAGCAGCCAAGATTTAAACATTGATTTTAAAATACAGTTTGCACATCATGTATCACATTATGTAAAAGTGCAGGTAAAATGTAAATAATATAGTGATATTTCCTCTTACAATGAAATCTAAGTATTATTTTATGGGATAAAAACAGCATATCTTTATTTAATATACTAGATACATAATAGTAAGTGTCCCAGCAATGATCCATTAAAGGCCGAAACCTTTCCAAGAATGAATGGCTACAATGAAGTATTAATAAGTGACTTCTAAAATTAACAGGACATCCTGAAAATATCATCATGTTGAACAGCTCTCAAGGAAGCATAATCAGTGAGTACACTCAAATTAATTCTGTACCTCCACAAAAGCCTCCTGCTGTGATTTCCTCTTCAAAAACATCAGAGAATCCTCTTCCTGCATTTAATTTTGATAGTCGGCCATCAATAAACTGGAAAAAAAAGTCACACTTTGTTGGCCCTTCTATTACTACACATGGTTACAGTTTTTAGTGTGTATATTATAGTGGAACATGGAAGTTCAAGAGAACATATAGCTTATATATAATTTACTGCTTTTAGATGGATTTAGAAGTCAGAATTTTGAGCAGCAGAAATATCAGGGCATTCTAAATATACCACAAATTATATGTTTTATGCAGAATTTACAAATATGAAAATACATCAGTTTATTTCCTTACAAACAATACCTTTGGATTTGTAATCATAATCAAATAAAGATCACCGAGCTGCTTCCTGATGCTCTGTTTTGCAATTGTACATTTACTTCAAATTGTCAAAAAAAAAAAAAGAAAAAAAAACAGTATCCCTTTCTGGGTATGCATCAATAGGTCCAAAGTAGAACTTGTGCACAGAAAGTACCTTCAGAGCAACTGGAAACATTTCACCACACCCAGTTGGGAGAAATCACAGACTACAATGTCTGCTTGAGGTCCATTAAGTGTATGTCTTTTACATGAAAAATTACTCTGAAAGAACAGTATGTGAAGGGAAACTGTAGCGAAATCATCTACACCAAGACAGCAGAGGAAGGCCGTGGCTTGGCTTCAGAAACGGTGGTGGCAGGAGGTTGATGTGACCAGCAGAGTGCAAACTGACTTGAAGGATGTTTTGTTTAAGTGTATGGGAAAGTGACGCACAGAGTCCCAAAACAACGTGAGGCGTGATACCAGGGCAGACCCCTAAAGCCCTCTCCTCCTGACCGAGCACAGCTCAGGGCTGACACCACCACATTTTTAAGTTCCAACACATCTGTTTGCCCTTTTCTTTAACCACTAACACTTACTTAGTTCCATCTACAGATGCATGTTTTAACAGTTGTCCTCATGCACATGTTACAACTGCAGGAACACATGGATTTGAATCCACATAGAAGTGTACACAGAAAGACTGAAATAATCAAAGTACACCAGAAAAGTCAAAGATAATTAGCAGTTAAACCTTTCAGAAGGAACCTATACATTCTTTACAAGAATTACCAGGCTTCAAAGTACAAGCACATTCTTGAAAGTTTAAAATTCTTTCGAGAAGCAGCCCTTCCCTTTTTGTTTTGAAAAGGCTAAGTCAAGTCTCAGAGATAAAGCGAGAAAGCATTTTTCCAATTATACACAGTTCATCATCCAGCAAAAATTTAAAATTATTCACTGGCGCTAAACAGTACATAGGAACCAACCAAAATTAATTATTTGGCTGTATCATATTTTACCACAGGTTATCCCAATGCTGTCAGTGACAATCTGATGCTTGTCACTGAACAGACTAGTGACATGAAACAAATTACTTTCTCACAGTACAAAATTTCCAGCATCAAGAATAAGACAAGCATTTATTTCTCCTTCTTGTTTAATTTATTTCTTATTTTTCTAATTTTACTGCAAGCTGGCTTTTTTTCCAAATAGGTTGGTTCATGGTCAGACCACTATGGGATCACTGGATTATTTCACAGAAAGAAAGAGATAAGAGCACCTTCAGCTAATGCTGTGGGGAAGAAAAGAAACAAATCAAACCAACCCCCTCCTCCCATCCCCAGCCTTTGAACTGTATGACATTATCTCTTTTGGGAAAGTTATGAATTCATTCCATACTATACACTAACATACGATTTATGGACGTTCTCATTGTTTGGTAAAATTCGATCAACAGAAGGTTGAGACAGAAACCAAATTTCAGTTTTTAGGGGATCACTCCAGTTGAGTATTTAATGTAAAGACTGACAAACAGAACTATTAGGAAAAAAAAGACATTGAAGACATTATTTAAAGTAAACTGTATGTTTTAGTAGTGGTAGCAGCAGTTACTACTTTTTAATCATTTACTGTTAATGGCTGCACATAAATTGCTACATGAAAAGAACAGCATGTGAATTGCAGTTACATTTTATGGTTTTCTCCTCCCATTTTTCAAGCCCACACTCTCTGGCCTACTATTCAAGAAATGCATTCCCTTGGAGATCCAAAGAGCCCTTGGCTGACTATTGCTTTCAATGAAAAGCTAGAAATACGAGGGCTACTCTTGGATTTTCAGCCGATTAAAGACAGCACAATCCTTAAATATTCTTGAATTCTAAAACCAAAATACAGACCACATCCATTTCAGAAGCTCTTGATGCACAGATGATAAGGCGTAGGAGGTTTGGAAGGCGACATTATGTTTTTGAGCTAAATCAAATTTATTCAGGCAGGAGTAACAATTACAAGTCAGTTCACCAATTATTAAAAACAAAAGTTGGTAGATACAAAGAAAACATTATAAATGTGATTTCCACACTGTAACAGCTCAATAGCTGACAACAGAGTGAAACCCATAAGGTTTGTAAATGAAATTTAAAATTCTCAAAGACTTATGATTCTTCAAGCCCTAATTATTTCCCTTTTTTTTTTTCTAGTTAGCACTTTCCACCATTTTAGGAACAAATCGCAGTAAATGTTGCCAATTACATCACTTATACAGCTCTATTATTTAATGAGATAGTCTAGCATTAGTCTTCATGCTAGTTTGAAGAACTAATTCTGTATTTTCCCCAAACACTCATGAGAACTATTTGACATATAAGATGCAACTATTAATTGATTACGTTTGTGGCTTGATATAAAGATTACTGCCTTCCATATTACGCAAATTAAAGGGGAGCCTTACTAAGGTTTTGAGAAAGCTAACAGATAAATGGCATTCATAATAGCATTGATATAAAAGATGGGAGGGGCTGGAAGTGAGAAAATAAGTAAAGTAAGTTTACAGTCTAAGAGAGCAAACATGTCATCTGAAGAAAAACTGTCATATACAGAATATTTTACCAGTAAATAGGAATATTTAATATATAAATAACAGTTATTTTCTTTTAAAGAAAAATATTTGTATATGATTCAATATACTATTAGTTTAAGAATAACAATAACCAGGGTTTTTAAAATGAAATTGGTTCAGGGCAGAAGGCAGCTTTAGAAAACCGTAGTCAACAAATTGCAGGAAACTGAATTTCAGATTCCTGCAAGTTGTGATCCTTATAATAAATTATTTTTATTAATTCCTAGGAAAAAAATTAACAACGTGGTGCATTCTGTTTCAGATAAATACAAACAGTCCTTGCAAATTCCAAAAACTTGAAGTCACCAACCTGATTTAAATAATATCTACATAAAATATGTAGATGTTCAAGACAATGTTTTGATGCTAAAAGCCAATCTAAGCATGGTCCTGACAAAAAAATATCCTGCTTAATTGTCAGTAAGGACTATGATGCTGAATAAGGGAACAAAAAATACACGTGTTAATATAAATGAGATACAGCAATGGACATTACAATACCTGAGAAATAAAACTCAAGTAAAAAATCCACAGGTTCACCTCTGCTACACAATTCTAAGGAAACTAGCACACATCTCTAGAATTTACAAAAGTTTTGAGAGTCTGTCAAGGTAAAGGAAAGATAGTTGAAGAGTAACGGTGCTGTTTAGATGAAATAAAATCAGAATGCCCAAAGTTTAGGTAGGATAAGGACTGGCCCATAAAGGAGATAACAGCTTGTAATGAAAGGAAAAGTGTCAGGCTGGAAGTGTCACCAGTCATGGTATTAAAGAGTAAGCTTTGGGACCAATCCTATATAGAGGTTAGTTAATGATTCTGGTACAACAGCTACTACATTTGGGGATATCGTTAATAGAAAGCATGTCAAAATGCAATACAAAGTAAAAACAGATGATGTTGAAGATTAAAATATCCTTAATGGGAGTAAGACAAAGAATTATTTCCACAATGTATTCCAACAGTGATTTGCAAGTGCTTTTGTGAAAAGATACTGCAAATTTCAAAATTAAGAGAATGTTTAAATTAGACAAATTAACATATTGTAATGTAGGAGAGCATTGAAAAAGATTAAAAATCTACAAAGAAAAAATATCAGGGGAAGGATTTTATAAAATGACACAAATAAAGATTACTTGTCAGTTATGGCAAAAAGACTACTTAAAGTACCTAATTTCTGCTTAGTCTGGGTTTCAGGCTGCTTCTAAGAATGATTTTCTGCTTAAAAGATTTTCCAGAACAAAGTAAAGTACAATTCAGTCTTTTTTAAAACAAACAACTTTGAAAACAGCTCATTTGTCAGTGGGAAAAAATTGAGAAGATGCAGCTGGGCTAAGGATTAGCTGAAAAAGGAGTAACCTTTGCAGCAGAAACCAGAAGAACGAAAAAAACCTACTACTACTAAACCACACACATGATCAAAATCATTACCACTTCCTAATCCTCTAAAATACATTATTTCTTTAGTTGAAATAAAATTAAAGCAAGCTATAAACAAGCTGTAAACTGATTCAGTTTGGTTGAACACACACTAAAGCATAAGGGGTAAGTACAGAGCCACAATGACAAGCCCATTCACTTCACTGAAGTTAGAACATTTTCTTAGAGATTAAGATTTTTAGCAGCAATAGCCTGACAACAATTTGGAAATAGTTTTTAGGCAGCTTTCTATTAAGAAAATTTCATGCTAGCTTATCACATTGAGACACAAAATGTAAACAACACTATTTACTCCATTACTTCAATTACATGTGCTGAATACTTCAAAAGTTTTCAGATTTTTGTATTAGTTTATATTTACACCTTGTTATTGTATAAGAAATCACTGTAAAATTCTAGAAGCCCAGTTATGCAACAAGTATTTCCTTAACTTTTCTATAATTAGGAGAAAAATATTTTCACAGAACTTCTACAAACTAACATTCTTGCATAAATCTTTACTTTAGACACTAGCCTCTGATTAGCACCAAATGTTTTTAGAAAATTAGAAGTTCTACATAAAATGAATTTCCCTTATCTATCATGGCAGTATATCTTCAAAGAAGTCCTCCGGATTATTTAAACATGAACTCCCATGCATCAATCATTCCAGTTATTTGCAGGCAAATACATACTTTGAGTCTTCCATTTCACTTGGATTTTCCTTGATTTTCTTAAAATCTAGTAATAAGTTTCTTAATACTCTTGATGCAATGAGCTCATGTGAGAAAAAAGTTTCAGAATAAAATCAAAGAAAAAAAATAATTTCCAAGACTGTAATGAAACTATTACTGAGCTGTGCCAGACATTCAACAATTTGTTCTCTACTAGTTTAAAACCTGCATTAACAGACCAGCTAGCATATTCTTCAGGCCACCCCTACTGCTTGGGTTTGTAACATTCTCTGTGTGCCTAGCAATGAAAACTGCAATTACAGTATTAATCCAGTTGTTAAATAAAATGCCACTGAATTTCAATTTAAGTAAGCACTATGTTGTTTAGGTTCTTTGGTCATGAGCCAAGAGAGCTGAAAATGAGGTTCAACCATCAAGCTGGGAGATCCATGATTTCTCTTGTTCAGATGAGTTGCTGACTGGCTCTGAAGCGATGTTGCACTGGCTCCTGCACCCTGGGGTTATTTTTTTGTTGAGTTCCCCTACCACCACCACTCTTTTAAAATACAACTCAAGATTTAAAAATACAACAAAACTGGGATGACTGTACACAATATTTTTACTTTATCCCAGAGTGTCATAAACTGACAGAAAGGAAAATGTATTTAAATATAGATATGATTAAAGAGAAAATAATTAAACATGGGTCATTTACCCCCTCATACCTGTTTAAACAGTTGAAGATTAACAGCAGTTTCCAGGAACTGCTTAGTACTACTGGAACGATGCTTCACAAAACTATTCTCACAGAAAGTTATAGGCTCTCCCTAAAAAATTTAAAGGGAAAAAGTTAGATGGTAACTACAATATACAAACATGCCAATTTATATAAAATTCTCCATTACAAATTTATTTATTAGTAGTCAATACATACAAGTACTCCCTTTCAAGCAATCTTGATAAACACACATCCAATTAAAGAGACATAGACAAAAACAACAAAAGTCCAAAATATACAATATTTAAATAGTTCTGAATATACATGTTGCAACCTCTTGTTTATGAAACCAGTATAAAAAATATGGATTGCAGGGAAAAATAAGTGGTTTACAGTTGATCCACATTACCCTTATACCACTCCTCTTTAAAAGTTTCAAGGAAGTGGTTCAAACTTTGAGGAAAAGCAGGTCCACTGCTTCAAACAATTTAACATGCATTATTGTTTAGAATTACTCTGATTCCCTGACATACTAAACCAGCAATACTAGTAAATCAAAACTCTAATTCAGTCCAAAAACATGTATCTGCACCAAATTATCTTTATATTGTACAAAACCACAAAAAGATTTATAAATATACTGCTGATTTAACAGGAAATTACTGAAATACACATCTATTTTATTTTTACACAAAACAAAAGCTACAAACTTGTTGGAACACTGTTATGGAGAAAGTCTGAATAGATGAGATTAGCCTTGTATATAAAATATATTTATCTAACATGAAAAAAGCACAGAGCCTATTGTCACCAAAAACCCTACACCTGAACATTTGATGATGAAAGACAGTAAAAAAGTACCCATTGAAAATCAAGTGTTTGTTGAAATTATTACTGAGAACAGCATTCATTTAAAAATAAAAGATGCTAATACATTTATTTATATACAAGCAAGTTGCCTCCTCTGTTACTCCCTAATTTAAAATTTGCTGTCTTCAGTATGCACAGACCACTGGACATTTCTGATGAGCATTCTCTCCAATTCTGTTATTCTCAGCAGTATTATGTGATAAATACTTGAAGCTGTTTGAAGTAACACGTGCATTAGATACATTACACATGTACATTAGGTACATTACAAAGTTTATGTAGTGATCCAGGTACATGATCTGAGTAAATTTAAAAGCAAAGGCTTCTCACCCAAATGTACAAGATAATTACCAGGCAAGAAACAATCACCAAAGGTCTCAAAGACAAAATATTTGGAATCCAACAAACCCCGACATCTAAATCTACCATAGAATATTTTACTACCCAAAAGCTGCATATACAGTCCCATAACAGAATAAAAGACACCTCAGCCATTCAAAAGAAAAAAGATCAGACACCACTCTGTTAATGTCCGCAATAACTCTGTCAGCCACTTAAAAGACAAATTTATTCATGCCTATGACTACCACAGCTTTCTGCTCCTAACCCTGTTTATGCCACTTCACACATTTTCCTGTCATTCTCGCTGACTCTGCAGTTATGATCTTCCAGAAGATCACAAACTGTTTTCTGCATGTGACCTAGGTGAGCTTGGTGGAGTAGATCTAAGTCATTTTCAACTGCATTTTACACCTTGCACTTTTGTTTTATAATGGTTCAAGTATGATCCAAGGAAACATTGCAGTAAAACACTGTGATGTCATTTAAAAATTCTATTATTATACTATTAAAAGGATCCCTCTTCTTAAGTTTCTCTTTTAAGGGGTCCAATTCTACTCAACCAAGTACTTAAGTTCGTGGTTCGCTTATTTTGCAGTTTTACATCCTTCCCTTTTTATGGAGCCTCTGACTTTAGAAAATAAATAACACTGGGAGAGCTAAAAGCTATATATTTACCTAACCTAAACCTTCCCCTTTCACAGGGTAGCTAGAATGCTGTGATGCACCACCCATCACAATACAAAATGTAGCACTGTGTCAATCAAGTCTCCAGGAGGAGCACTTAGGCGTCTCCACTTACTACGTACCCCAAGATAACTGGTGAACACTGTAAACATACAGAACATGCTGGATCTACCCAGTAGGTTTAAATATTTGTGGTACTTTAAATAGCACTGCCTTCCTGACCCACTTTGCATTAGCTATCCTTGAGCTACTAAAGACTCGTGTCTTAAGAAGATGACCCCAAGCTACTTACAAATTCCAAGTGCATCAAAATAAATGAAATAGTCTCCAAGTGAGACACAGTGGTACACAGTGTTCCTGCGGGTAAACTCTCTTCTCAGTTCTGTCATTCTTACAAAAAATTTCAGGGCAGCAAATTATAACAATTCCTTTTATTTTATAAATATATACTTCTCTGTTGTTTCACAAAAAAAAATATTTCTGGAAATACAGAAGCATTGTGGGAATGCAGAACTGACTAGATTGGTCAAGAAATACTATGAAACACTGAATTTAGGACCAAAGAAAGAAAATAGTGTTTTCAAAATATACTATTTAGAAAAATAAAAACTAAGCTATGCCTCTACTGCCATTTTCCCAGCTGTCTTGGGAAAGATGGAAAAGGAGAGATTATCTTCCAGTAGAATACAAAACAGGCATGCTTCTCTTCCTTTCACACCAGCGTGGGAAAAGAGACCAGTCAGTTTTACTTGATGGCACTTCTCCCACCCAAGCCATGGAAGCAAATGCCAGGAAATGGTAGTTCAACACACACTTCCGTGCATGGCTTTCCCAAATACTTCCCTTTAATCTCTGGATGCTTCAGATCCTTAGCAAGCACTCAGGCATTGGTGCATCTGTTCCCTTATCAGTACAGTTGGGATACAGAATAACCTAAGTCATTTCTTAGCTGAAAATTTATTTACATCTATAAAAAGTTCACATCCAAAAGTCATCTATGTTATTTGAACCAACTGATAGCAAGGTTGCATTAAAACCTTTAGTAGGTTTAAAGCTCCAACATGTTCAGTACATGAAAATGAGAACATCTGTTGAAACCTGTTGCATTTTGACACTTAAGTTTTCTCAGGGTATCTGCTGTAACTTCACTAAAATTGCATTAACTACTACTAATTATCTCCTTGCTCTTTTATGTGTCCAAGGCTCTGAACAACTAAATTGTGTTCCAAATAAAACTTTTACAAATCTTCAGTATTATTGCTGCAAACATAAAGCTTTTTGAAGTTCTATTTAAAAAAAATTACTGAACAAGAATCTCATACCAAAAGCTTGTAACATCCTCTTTTCTGCAAATACAGCCATGTACCTTTAGAAACTGAATTTTGGAGGAATGTTCCACTTATATTTAACTACCAGACCATCAAATGGCCCCTGTTGTATTGATCTACAATGTACTTTCAAAACAAGTTCAATCAAAACCCAGTGGGGACTCTATACTGAAAAGTAGACAGCTAATACTCAAACCAAACAATCCATGCCCAAACAAGGTATCTGTCCTTTTAACAACAGTTGCTATAGAATTTTCTTCTTCTTTCATAGCACTGCTATAATTAATTCTGGTTTAGCTATGGTCATAGCTGCTTTGGGTTTGTTTTGTGTTGGGTTTTTTTATAAAGCACATTATTTTAAACACCCTTTTGGGTTTGATACTAAAATTCCTCTGTTTAAAAGAAATTATGTACAAACCTGAAATTTCAGCTGTTGTCATGACATTCAGAGATAAAGGCCAGGGGATAACTGGTTAAGACCTATGATTCTACTCAGGAAGGTGCCATTTAAAACCACAAACTAATTTCTACAAAATTTGCAAATTTCTCAGAATGTACCCAAATTAAGATTTAGATATGATGTTATTTCTTATAGTCACAATTAATAAAGAGTACACAGGGTGGTTCTGGATTTAAACACAAAATATTTTCTAGCATTTCATTACTCTTTCTTTGTTTCCTTACTTTGCTGTACTTTTTACATCAAGTCAAAACACATTTTAAGAGATACCTGTCCTCAAAAGGTTTCATTTTGAAACTCAGTTATGAGAAATTATTTCTTACACATTCTCAAGTATCTCAGGTGTATTCTGAATTTTAAAATCTTTTCCTAATATAACATTTAACTGCATTATTTTGCTTTGTTGTATACCTGCATCTGTCAGAGAGCCAATGTCATGACTTAAAATGGTGCCAATATTGGCCCAAAGCTCTCCAGTCAGCATTCAATTACAGTGAGGTCTGACAGGTTGTGCTATCTTCAAGCTGGAAGTTATCTTGGCTCCCCTGGTGAGACCATGAACTCCTACTGCCGAGCATTCCAGAGCAAGCCATTAGCCTTTGCTCTTCATTTCTTAATTTCTGATGAGTGATGTTACAACCATCATAACTTTAAACAGTTACCCTGGATTTATCTCTTTTGTTTTTAACTTAAGAGCTTTGAGAACTTTTTCTCCGAAAGATGTGTTTTGTTGGTTTTTTTTCCAACAACTTAATCTTTTGTTAGCTAGTTCTTGAAGAAAAGCCATTTTTTGGGTGGTAAAAAATCAGTCACTGTTGCTTATATTCCATAATCTTTCAATAAATGTGTCATAAAGTAACAGGATTTATGTGAAATACATACGAAATATATTTGTTTTGCTATGATGCATAAAAAGAAAACCTTTCTCTAAAAAAAAATAAATTAAAAATCACACATGTATATCCTTCTGATATTTGCTGCCTAAGAGTAAACAGCTCTTCTGCTTTGTTTTCTTGATGATGTTAAAATTAATTTCTATTATACTGAATACTTTTTAACTCCTTAACTCCTTTCTCGTTAACTTATCTTTCCCTCTCTAGACAGACTGCCAGCAGG